TTTAGGTAATATTGACTTTTTCACAATTTTGAGTCTTCTGATCTGTGGACACGGAATATTTTTCCACTTATGTAGATTCCATTCAGTTTCTTGTAGTAATGTTCTATAGTTTTCCTTGTACAGGTTTTCTTTTCTTTTTTTGGTTAGTTTATTCCTCAGTATTTCAGATTTTACACAGTTATTGTCAATGGTATTGTTTCCTTGAAGTCTACTTTGATATTCTCATCACTGGTATATAGGAATATGATTAGTTTCTGCTTGCTAATTTGTATCTTGCAACTCAACTAAACTTCTCTATTGTTTCCAGCAATTCTATTTTGAACTCCTTAGGATTCTCAATATATAAAATCATATTGTCTGAAAACAGCAAAAGTTTCACTTCTTTTTTGTCCAATTGTACTCCCTTGATTTTTTGTCATCGTCTTACGGTGCAGGTTAGGACTTCCAGCACAATATTGAATAAAAGTATAGATAAGGGACAACCTTATTTGGTTAGTTTCGTCAGTGGAAATGTTTTAGGCTCTCTCCATTGAGTTTAATATTGTCTATTGGCTTTTCAAATATGGCCTTTATTGTCTTGAGGATTTTCCCTTCTAATCCTATCTTCTTGAGAGCTTTTATTAGGAATGGGTATTGGAGATTGTCTAATGCTTTTTCTGCCTCAATTGATATGATCATATGGCTCTTATCCTTTTTCTTGTTAATGTAGAGGATTACACTTTTTTTTTTTTCAAATGTTGAAACATCCCTGTATCCATTGTATGAATCCCACTTGGTCATGATGTCATGATGTATTGTTTATTTTGGATTCTATTGGCCAAGATTTTATTGAGAATTCTTGCATCTATGTTCATGAGTGGTATCTGCCTGTCATTCTCTATCCTTGTGGGGTCCTAGGCTGGTTTGGATATCAAGGTTATGCTGGCTTCATAGAATGAATTTGAGACTTTGCTGTCCCTTTCTGTTCTGGAAGAGTTTGTGTAGGATTGATGTCAGCTTTTCTCTGAACATTTGGTAGAATTCTCCTGTGAAGCTATTGGGACCAGGGCTTTTTTTAGTTGGGAGTTTCTTGATGACCTTGTCTATTTCCTCTTTTGCTGTGGGTCTGTTCAAGTTCTTAATGTGCATATGCATTAATTTGGGTAGAGAGTGTTTTTCTAAGTATATCGTGTACCTTGAAGTCTATTTTGTTGGAGATTAAAATTTCCACCTTTGCATTTTTTATTGCCATTAGCTTGGTAAAATTTTTGCCGTCCTTTGATTCTCAGTCTATTTTTGTCCATGAGTTTTAGATGTATATCTTGAAGGCAGAAGATAGATGGATATTATTATCTAATCCAGTCTGTTACTCTTTGATTTTGATTGGTGTGTTTAGTACATTGACTGTGGGTGTAATTACATCTGAATGTAGATTAGTTACTGTCATCCCATTTTATTGTGCTTGACATTTTCCTTTCTCCCCTTTTATGGGATTGTGTGTATGAGAGAGAGAGGAGTTAATTTGTGAATTCATTTCTCCACTATATCTGTAATGTTTCAATGTGTTGGTTTCTGAGTGCTGTTGCATCCTGCAGGAGTCTCATGTTTAAAGGCTGAAACTGTTGTTTTTATGCCCATAAAGAACAATATCGTTTTTTTCATTGTTGTTTTGCAATGCTGGTTTTGTTTTTACAAATTCTCTAAATATTTCCTTGATTGAGAAAATTTTATTTCTCCTTCAAATTTGATGGATAGCTTTGGATTTTTGGATTGCAGTTGTTGTCCTTTAACTTTTGGAATATGTTGCTCCAATTTCTTCTTTCCTGCATGGTCTCTCCAGGGAGATCTGAGCTTACTCTTATCTGTTGACCTTTATATGTGACTGCTTTTTTTCTCTCGAGCTGCTCTCCTGATTCTCTCCTATTCCTTCTAGTTGAATAACTTGACTACTATATGTCTTGATATATTTTGTGGTGTGTCGGGGGGGGGGGGGGGGATCTATTTGGTCTCTCTGCTTTATATATGGTTATCATCTCCTCCTTTGTGATAATTAGTACATTTTCTTCCAAAATTTCCCTTAGTAATAACTGTAGACTTATTTCTTTCTTTCTGTCTAGGCACACCAATAATTCAAGCATTGTTTTGATTCATGGTATCCCACATCATGCTCAGGCTTTCTTCAGATCCTTTTGCTTTTTTGTTTGTTTGTCTTCTTTACTGAATTCTGCTTTGTTGTCTTTTTGTTCACTGATTCCATTTTATATTCTATTGGCCATATTTTGTACTTTGTTTTTTTATTTCTGCTACATTTTTCCTTAGTTCCTAAATTTCCTTTGGGTGTGAGGTATCTAGTAGCTCCATTTTTTCATATGTTTTTTAGGAATGAGCCCCTTATCTCTTGTAAGGGCCTAAGCATCATTTTTTGAATTTTCTATCTGGCAGTTCAAGGGCTTTTTCTTCTGTGTATTCCATTAGGCTTGGGTAATCTTAAGTTGTTGACCTTTGATTCTATTTATTTATTTATTTTTGGTAGATGCTGATTGCTGTTGTTTGCACCACATAGTGGTAGAACAGTAGATGATGTATAGGCTTCTGGGTTGTATAGTGGGGGGAAGGGTTGGATTTTTAGGTTAGAGGACGATCAGGTATGAGTTAAAAATCATATGGCGTGGAGAATAGGAGGGAATTACAGGATAGAAGGAATAGGTTATAGGTGCTTAGAAGTAGGCTTTAAGTGGTAGTATTAATCATAAGAAGCTTTCCTGTTAAATATAGTAGATTTTTTAATCATTTTATTAGGGGCTCATATAACTCATCACAATCCATACATACATCAATTGTGTAAAGCACATTTGTACATTCATTGCCCTCATCATTCTCAAAATATTTCCTCTCCACTTAAGCCCCTGTACTTAGTAGATTATAAAAGAGTGTGTGTTACTGAGGTGGAGGAAGCAGGGTCTTGAGGTAATAGTGGTTGGAGTGGGGGAGGGTTAAACTAAGAAATCTACCAGTCATGTATTGACCCTGTATATTATTTAGGGAAACTGCAGCCCTTATTTTATAGTGTTTATAACAAAAAATGCTTTTATTGTGGATTCTGCCCAACTCAGTATTATGTGCTCTTTGCATGTGATCCCAGGGGGGATGTAGGCTATTGGAGTGGGGGCCCAAAGAAGGGGGAGAGGGGAGACTTCTGATCAGTAGGCTAGGCAGTCCTGCTAAGGACCTAAGTCCTTTTGTCTGTCAGATACCTAGATGGGGGAGGAGAAGGCTCTGAGAAACACAGAAATTCTGGGTTTATGTCCATCTGGTGGGAAAAAGAGTTCTGTGATTTTCTTCCTGAAACGAGTATAGGAGCAACTTTATTATATTCTTGAAAGTCCCATATTGTTCAAGTTGTGTTCCTGTCTTATTGGGACGGGACCCCTTTTGAGTTAGCTGGGAGTTTTTATCTGGCAGCTATTAGAGCTGCGCCCTTGCAGTAAGGGGAGGAGAGGGGGTCCAGTAAGAGATAGTAGTAATTTTGAAGGCTCTGTTCTGCTGGCCGAGGTGAGCTTCAACATCTAAGTCTCCCAGTGGTCCAGGAGGGTGTAGGACTGTGGTTTCCACTTGGGAGATGGTGTGGGTTGGGATATTCACCGCATTGGCAAGTCTCAGAGCTAGGGTAGAAGGGAGGAAGCTGGCATTCACTGCCACAGTGACTTTACTAAGGTAGCAGGAAGGGAGAGACAGCAGCATTCTCTGTGGGTGAAAATAGGAGAGGGAGCTCTAAAATATTCCTGGAGTGCTGAGATTCTAGGGCCTACATCTAAATTCTCAGAACAGGCATCCTCACCTGTCAGTCTCTGGGCCACCAAGGGGAATTCTAGGCAGGAAACTCTATCTCAGCACATCTTCCCAGAACTCTGGGATGATTTCTGTCTGTGGGAAGGTGTGTCTCTATGTTGCTCACTTCCATCTAGTGAGACAAGTGATGGAGAAAGGAGGCAAAAAAGACTGAAAATTCAAAATCTCTGTCAATTTTCCTAAGGGACTCAGGGTGGAATCAGATTAAGTGACAGTCTCTTCAGAGACCATCAGCAACTTTTTAGATGAAGAAACAGGAGTTGGAAAAACAGAGTAGCAAAGAGATGTAAGGCGGTTCTGAGGATCGGTAATTTGTTAAGAGGCTGGGATTCACAGAGAAATATGGCAAATGAGAACTCCCCAGTGGTGCAATAGTCTAGGGGTTATTATACTTAAAATGTCTAGTATTGGCTTCTAAATTGTTTGACTTTGAAATTTAAAACCACCCCAGTGCTCCAAACTCAGTCAAATTTTCTGCACAGCAATGAATTGGATGGTTTGAACAAAATAGAGACGACGTGATGAGTTTGAACCTGGGTTTCCATAGAGCAAAGGGAGCCCCAGGGCAAGATATAAAATGGGTATAGGTGTCAGTGGAAGTAGGAACTATGAGCCACAATGATTATGAGAATGGAAAAACCGGTACATTCACATGAATCTTGGGAAGATCAATGGTGCTCCACAACCAAAAAAAAATGAAAGTTGGAACTTGAACTATTTTTTAAAGAAAATCTGGAAAGTAGGTTAATCATAGCTGATATAGGAGACACAATGACAAACTTTCAAAATAGACATAAATACTTTCAAATGTGAATCTATGGCAGTGTTTATAAAATTGTATACAGGTTTGTTTGTTTTTATAACTCAAAGCAGTCTTAGATATTTCAAGAAAGTTATTTAATAAACCAAGCCCCCCCCCCCTTTTTCCCCTCTATTCATGTTGTCAGAAGTTTTACCAGATGGATAATATCATCTCATCAAGAACTTTCCTAAATAGGCTTGGAATAGTCACCTATTTGCCCTTTGATAAAAGTGTCTGAATTTCCAGAATTATTGAAATATAAAATACATGTGCATCATTCAAAGATTTTCTGAGATAATGATCTGGATCTCATATATAGAAATATTCACCGAGAAGTCTTCAAATCCTTCAAAAGCTGCCCTAGGCTTACCTTTACATGGTGGATTAGATGCTCTTCTTCATTCACTTTGTAGGTCTCCAATCCTAGCTCCTTGGATAATCTTAAAATACGATTCTGAGTTGGCCCAACATAAGATCCACCAAGGTCCACGTATTTAACTTTTTGATTCTGTTTTGCAATGAAAAACAAATATTTTAAAATAAGCAAATGAACACATTTACATGTCACAGGTTATAGAGAAATGTCGAGGTGTATCCATCGAGAACCGAATTATCTTCTGAACTCAACTTTATTCCAACAATGTAAATGAACATTGAATTTAAAACAGGCGGCAGACTTTTGAACCCCATTATTCACAATATAAGGATAAAATTTTAAAGTATTGGTATTAAGCGTTTCAGTTCATACGTGCATGGGATTATTCCAAACAAAAGGTGTTTAAGCATGTCTCTACTTTCAGTAAATGGCTCCAGACACATTCTCTCGGTCATACATTTGTCTTAATCTTGTTAACCAAACCAAAATAAAGGCTCATGCAATCAAATCAATCCTGACTCATATCAACTCTATACCACAATGGAGAATTGCCTCTGTAGCAATTTTTGATTTTGCTAAGATTTTCCCGTGCACATTTATGGGAGAGTTCTACTCTGCATTACATGAGACTGCAACGAGTCAGAATCTTCTACCCAAGAAAAGGCTTGCTTTTGGTTTTAAGGGCATAAACAATGGCCCAAAGACAAGAGGACTAGGGCAAGTTTGGAGAACTCTATGGAATCACAAATAACTAAGGTATATGATCTTTGTCAGGGTCAATGGCAACATTTCCAGGTAGAGATACTTCTGATCTTCACGATTGGGGGAGATATCCTCTCATATCTCCCATGGTACATACAACTCTAGGCTGAAACCCACCTCCACTGTAGCATGTCTCTTGATGAATTGTAACTGTAATTACAATTATAATTAGAAGCAGACTGGTTTCTCCAAGGAGACTATGAATTACTTGGTGCTTACTATGCTTGATACGAATTGATCACAAGGATTAATCTAGGAGCCCCCTCCCAGGGGGACGAATAACAGAAAAGTGGGTGAGGGGTGATGGAGGATGATGTAAGATATGGAAAAAATAATCTATAACTTATCAAGTGTTCATGAGGGAGGGCAGGTGGAGGAGGGAGGCGGAATAAATGGGGAGCTGATATCAAGGGCTCAAGTGGAAAGAGAATGCTTTGAAAATTATGATGGAGGCATATGTGCAAATATGCTTAACACATTGGAGGAATATATGGATTGTGATAAGAGATGTAAGAGCTCCCAATAAAAGTATTTCAAAAAACAAAGTAAGCACTCAGTGGGCATTTGATGATGATAAGTTTAACTGTGAAGGAAAGGACTAAAATAATCAATGAGTATCCTGCTAGACATGTATCAGTAAAAACTATTTGAAGCTTTAAGTTGAGATTTTATATTTTTCTTCTCCCTGGGACTGAAACTACCCTCTTAGCATCAAATTTAATTGATACCACTCAAATTCTGAGTGCCTGGAGAAGGCAGATTTCTTTGCAGAGAAATCTGCTTTATATATCATATATATATATATCACTATATATTATATAATATTATATTAATATATAATATAGTAATATAATTATATTATTAATTATATAATATAAATATAATTAATATATAATATAAATACAATTAATATATAATGTATTGATATAATATTAATACATTATATATAATATTATATACATAATCTGCTGAATATAATAGAAAATAATTAATTTTAGTCAGTGGTGTCAGAATTGAAACAATTAACTAGCAATTGTAATAAATTTACTAAGAATTCATTTTAAAATTATGATGACACACTAGATAAATTTAAAAAAGGAAAATTAGCCAGTTAAAATTTATTTAGTGCAATTGGTTAGAAAGCTTGTGTTGGTGTTAGAAAGGCCTTGAAGTTCAAAGGATGGAAAATACAAATAATTTTGATATTTTTTCTTTCTACTATATATACCTATTCAATAATCTATAGCCTCCCCCCCACACACACAAACACAACTCTATAGTGCCAAGGATCATGAGGTAAGATGAGAAAAGAGACAAAAATTATTTAAAAGGAGGATAATTGAGAGAGAGGCAGTAGTTTTAAAGTAATTTTTACCATCTCAGTAAAATATTTCAAGAAAAACAAAACAACAACAAAACCCAACAAAATCAGCTTTAGTCTCACTTTCTTCACCCAGCCTAGGTCATGTCTCACCCTAATGGTATAGGTCCTGCCTCCGACACGGTTCCGGGCTTCCAAAACCACCACATTCAAGCCAGCCTCATGGAGAAGTTTAGCTGCTGCCATACCTGAAAGAAAATACAATAGCATCTGAACAAAATAACTTACAAGTTCTATCAAGGTACATAACTTAGGAACCTAATAGAAATGACACAAACAAATATGCCCACACGTCAGCTTATTGCAGCACTATTCACAATATCACAAAAGGTAGGGAAAACCTACTGTTGATAATCCCACTTTACGTCAAAGAAAATTGAAGTGCAAAGAGACACTCAAGATCACATATTGGAGAAGGTGACAAAGCCGACAGATCTAGCTTCAATGTCTCTGCATGTATCTATTATGCCATTCTTCTATCCATCGCACCTGATATCCATCCTCACCTTTGATTACATCTGCCCAGTTTTTGCTAAAGGAAGAAATTATACAAAAGATATTTTTGACTTTATCTAGATCGATATGTCCTTAAAACACACTTGTATCTTGTGCTTTGACAGGAATTCATACACCATAAAATATGATCCTAAGGTAAAAATCATAATGAAATGCCAAGGTTTCAGTCACCATTTATTGGATTTCCGAAAAGAGGGAACCTATTTTTTTTGAAAGGCTGATCTGACATTTCATTATTAGTGTTAGTCAATCTTCTGATACAAATTTCTGGGCTTCCAGTTCCTTAGGAGAGTGGAAGCATAATAACTCCAAAGGCCGCCCAGGATAATACACAGAAGCATTGTGCAATTCCAGGAATAATGAGCTTGGATCTTTAACCATAATATCCTAATTTTAACTACAAAAGCAAGCAAGCAAACAAACAAATAAACAAAAAGAACCTTCTATTTAAATTCAAAATTGCAGACAATTCAATGACACGTCTCTTATCAAGCATCAATTCAACAAATGAAAAACCATGCAGCCATAGAAACGGCTGTTATCAGTGAGCTCAGATACACTCTCTGAGCATGTTGAGGTTTAAACAAAAGGCTTCAGAGTGAAATATAGCATTACTTGTACACACTAGCATGCTATATTACACAAAGGTACTGTCTTTTATAAGTGAAGGCATACTCTTATCTGATGCTAAATATAAACAGCTATTAAAATAATCCAGGTTCTTATCAAACCATTGAACAGTCCTCTAATGCTCATGTGCCTAAAAAATCATGAAGAGAAAATTATTTTTAAAATATGTTTAAAGAAGACAATACGAAAGCATTATTTGGAAATACTTCACTTTTTTCACTACTCTTCACATTGAGAGGTATTCAAAATGTTTGTTTACCAAAAACCTCTGTATTGGTCGACAGCAACCTCAACAGATTTATTGAGCATCTCCTCTACAACAAGGACATCAGAAAGAGCATGTGGAGGAGGTACCTGGAGCTCTGGATCACTGAGAAAAGGGTGGCTGAGTTAGCTGAACACACCAACAAGGGGAACAATGGGCAAAATCTACACATGGTCATCAGACTGGTGAATTTCCCCATAACCTGCAATGGGTTGAACCGCTCTGCCCCCAGTGCACAGCAATCTCAGGAACCCAATAACTGAAAGGGGCACAGTGAGTTCTTTGCTGGCTAGCATGAGCCAATTAACTCCTCTCACAGTGCAGCACAATCTCCAGGACCTGACAATGAAAAATGTAGGCTCCCCATTGGCTTCCCATACCACCCAGGTGGACAGAGGAGTGAATGGCACACAAACTAGTGCACCCAGATGCTGGTTGCACCCCTCCCTTCACATTCCTTGGGCTGCACGTGCAATCTGAAAGAGGCTGGAGCAAATAGGAATGCTGCACAATACAGGAGGCTAACGAAAGCAGATACTGAATCATTATTCCAAATTCCCTAGGGTTCTCTGGTGCATGGAGGGAATGCTGGTCCACACACCCACATGCTCAGAGGAGGTAGAGGCTGGTGTGACCACCCAGCATGGTAATTGGCTCCAGAAGAGTCCCTGATCTCCATGAGTGATGTGGGACTACAGCAGCTAGGAGAACTGATTGAGGCAA